TCCTGTCATCCAACGGACACAATGGTACCAGCATCAGACAAACCCCATCGTCCTAACATATAGAGGGATCCTTGAAAAATCAAGCTCCCAATCCCTCCGACGTCTTTGTTTCTCATTCCGGGATCTTGGGGATCTATGCATGAACGCAATTCAAGGTTCAATCAAAATCTATAACACTTACATGAGAGGTACTCAACGTTCATATACATAATTTCATTCTTTCTCAAACGCTATTCTGCTCGTTGTTGTCTGTCTTCATTATTTCTCATTAATTGAGTGATGCCATCTGTGCTTCAACGCCTGCCTGACTTCGTTCCATTTTGTCCGCTCTCCACACCTATCCAGGATAATGATTGAATTACCCGTCTGTTTCTCGGTGTTTTTTTCTTTTAATGATGATTGTTTCATTGAATTTGGTTGGTCTTCATTGATTGATTGGCTATCTATGCTAGCCCACGGCAGTTTTTGATTCCCCGGTATCGGGTTCTCCGGCATGTTTCTGAAAATCTTTTCTATTGGTCCGGCATTTATTAATACTGTAATTTGATTATTGTTAGTATTACTATTAATATTAGTCTTTTTATCATTATTAGTCTCCGTATCAGTTAACTTCAATATTAACCTCTTGACGTTCTCTTTACAATACCTTTATTTCTGCTACACGCTACCGCGCTTAATGAAAACCTCTCTACTCAAGCCAGTAAGATTGTAAACAATAAAATTAAGTTAGCAAAAGACCAATATATCAAAGATAAAATAGACGAGATGAACTCTTACATCTATAAACATGACTTATACGACTTACCCCAACACTGACTAAGGTTCAAGTCATTATCATAGACATGAGTTGGGAGTGTACTCTCCTTGGTTACAACTTGTTTCCTCTCTGATAACCACATGAGCGTCACTCACTGTTAATTATCTTGTAAAAACTTATTTAGCTGAATACATCTTGCAGCACATCACCTAGTAATGCAGTATATAGACTTAACTGATTTCAGTAACTTATAATCACTATATCTCAATTGAATCGTATTCCGCCTTATGATAAACTGCATACTTGCAACTAACTTGTATGCATCATCAGCGGTCAGGTATAAATATGTATAAATAGTCTATGGCAACTCAGAACATTGAGTCTAGAGTATGTCTCTTACGAATACACTCATGTTTAACGATTTGTTCTTAGCTATCTGTCCAAAATTCATATAATTATCACTCACGTATTTAAATTTTGTTTTGATAACCATTCATGTGTATTAGTAGTATTACTAAATTCTATCACGGTCAAGTAAAAATGAGGTTGAGAAAATCTCCCCGTAACTAAATAACCGTATCAAACTAACTGGAACACTAGTTGGAATTCTTCTCCACGGTAATACTTTTGTTCCTTCAGTTAGCCTACTAATATAAATGCAATTGAAAATCAACTCATGGACAACTTACTAGCATGAACGTTATTTGATTTTATAATTTAAACCAAAACTAATACTAATATTAACATTTCTACAATATTGATTACTTTTAATATTTCTAAACACAAAATACATACCACGTATGAGTTAAGTTATTAACCCAACGGCTGGTGTAGACGATGATGTGACTTCCACGTAAGATCTTATAGATTAGGCAGTTATATCATGACAAATCTACAATTTTAGGATTAGGTCTATTATTAGAGCAGTACTAATATCATAGTAGACCATAATTCTACATTGGTAGGCCCGACTAAAGAAACACAACCTATTACCAATAATCCTTATTTCGATCGATTACTGGATAAACTCAATGGTGTTCAAAATGATATTGTGATGACACATGAACCAGAAAGTAACGGCCAATTAGCCTTTCTAGACATACTTTTAAGTCGAAGGGATGATGGCACTATTAGACGGTCCGTGTATAGGAAACCAACTTGGACGGAACAATACCTAAATTTCCATAGTTTCTGTCCATTGCAATACAAGAGAGGTCTAGTTAAGTGCCTCTTTAAGAGGACTCGAAGAATATGTTCCTCTGATATGGTGGAAAAAGACGAAAAGTTACTGACTGACACTTTAATAGTAAATGGTTATCCACTCAAGTTTATTAATAGGTGCAAAAGTCAATTAATGCCAAGACCTCTAATTTATTCAGTGCCAAAGAAAAAGGTTTACATCAATCTACCATATAGAGGCGAATCAAACAGTATAGTTTTAAGGTACAGATTGAAAGCAGCCATTGAGAATACGTATTATGCTGCTCAGTTGGTAGTGATTGAAAAGTCTAAGGCCATGATTCATAATAGACCCAAACAATGCACTAATGATTACGTCACATCCCATTGTATTTACCAATTTACATGTTTGTGTGGACACACATACATAGGGAGGAGTAATCGAACAATGCAATCAAGGGTCAGTGAACATGTACCCAGATGGCTTCAAAATCATTGTGTGTCAAATGATCCGATCAATGTAGGAGGTAGAAAACCAAGTTCATCAATAGCAAAACACATAATTGAGACGGGGCACAAAATTAACATTAATACAGCAATTAGAATGTTGTATAGAAATTGTCAAGGTTGAATTCTTAAGTTTATTGAAGCCTTAGCTATTCGTAAATTTAAACCCCCCTTATGTGTACAAAAACAATTTGTCGTAACCTTGAATTTACCTTGGTAATCCTTAAGTCATTCTATGGCCTAGGATAACGCGACAATTTCTTATTCTTTCTCCCCCCTTAGTTATTTCAGTTGTACTTTTATTTGTTTGTTTGACCTTTATTAATTTTCATATAAAAATGCCTTGACAAGTATATGTGTGACCAGATTGTTCGAAATGTATAGCGCAAATACATCACATTTTTCAGATCAACTACGTCTTCTCATTGTTCTATCGAAATTTATAAAAGGGACTAATTGCTTTAAATCCTTGTTTCCACTTTAACCTTCTCGATCGATTTTATATTTATGTTAACCCAGTATTCTAATAGTCCTCTGATTAATGCTCACATGTATTATCGTAATGTTATATTGATTATTACTCATAACATACTAACAATCGATACCAATAACCGGTTATCTATATCAATTAGCTTTGATGGTTCATTAACAAGCTTTAATAGCATTTACATGCTTCTACGGAATAAACTTGTTTAAACATCTAGCTCTATCTAAGAATAACGTGATGCGATCAAGGACTAGATAGTTATCTGGATCTAATTCTTAGTGTTCCTTCACTTAACACCTCATCCTGTTTTTAAACTACGCACTATCCTGTAATATCTTTTCTTCCGACCACTGCCTGCCTAATTTCATATTCTCGAGTTCCATTGTCAAACAACAGGGACACTACTCCAAAAACATACGGTGAGTTTCAGCTATAAGTTCTCTGCAATCATTTGGGATGACTCACTCAATGGCAACCACACAATTATCTGGATTCATTCCATTGTTCTGATCCGAGCGAGTGACAAAAACGTCAACGGCATCAAGCACCCTGGAAGTGATTGCCATACTGCATGTTTTATTCTGGATGCTTTTGGATCATTACTACTCACGAATGACGTTATATATGTCGTCCACTAAATAACCTAATTTTCAAAAATAACCCAGGCGAGTTCAACTATTTTACAGGATGATTTTTTTGTACTTAACATGTATATATTTTCCAGTTGCTTTTGACACATTTGCAAATGTCCCTAGTTTAAATGCAGTAACTTTTTATGGAATGTTTATAACGCGTCATATTCCTGCCTGAAGTTTCATAAGCAGTCTTAGCTTTAAAATTATTTCTCTGGTGATGTTCATTATTTTTAAATTGTCATATACGTCAACAACCTACCTGCATGTTAACCTGACCCGTACATACGTTTTACTATATCTTCATATCTTTTGAATTTAGAAATCATCTGAATCGCCTTTAACATTTATCAATAAACCCATCATAGACGTTGTTACTAATCGTATTTGGGTTAATGGATTGGTTTGTCATATTAGCAGCCTAAAATGCGGACATAGTTTAGATAATAAAATTAGAAATTTGGAGACTATCAACTACACTAGTCAAATAAATAAATTCTCATGTAGTTTTTGGCTAAATAGATGTTTAACATCAAAACTCTGGAGCCTACTAAAATTAACGCTTGACGAATACTTTCGAATTAAAATTTATAATAGCCACAGTTTTCCGAGCCGTGGATCCCCCTCCGTCCCTAATTGTTTTGAATGTCCACGGTGCCCGTATCGAGCAACATAAGCGATCGGGCTTGGTCAACATAAACGATTAAAGCATGTTTTTGAATATAACGAAGGGTAGTAAGTATGAAGGTCCTTGCTTAGCCTGCGATTATAGTCTCCCAGGATGAGTATAGGAAGTTTATTTAGTTTAAGCTTTTTAATTGTGTCTTTTAGCTTAAGATAGAATTTTTCTTTACTAACTTCATCATTAGAAGACTCGGTTGGGGCGTAGCAACCGATAAGGTTAATGGTCTGCTTGGTAGCTTTACTGTGTATTTTAATGGTAGCTATTCTGCCATCTACCTCTTCAAAATCGGTGGCAGTTATCATGGATTGGTCGTTTACCAGAAAACCAACACCAGTATTTCGGTAGTCATTAATGTCTGGGTTAGAGTTATAAAAGCTTAAGCCGTTGTTATCCATGTCAATAATTTTAGAGGTCATTCTAGTTTCCGTGATCACTGCTATGTGGTACATACGTTCAGTTATTTGCTCTGCTATCACTTGGAGTTTGCTCTCTTGTGAACAACCCCGGACATTCCATAAACCAATTTTAAGTTTTTGGTAATTTTGGGCATTTTTTTTTGTCTTTTTTTACTCCAGTTATAATTGTGCAATGATTCTTTGTAGCTTTCGTAATCAGGTGTGGGTATAGGTAGAGTGGGTGATTAGCCCGATCTCCACCACCCAGGTTACCGCTCACGTTGGTTCATGAGACATTCGTCCCACTATCCAGGAGGCACGACGCGGACGTGTGAGTCGGATTTTGCCTCCCATCCCTGTGGTGCCCCTTCCAGCCAAACTAGTTGGTGAAGCCTAGTAGGCCCTTCTGGAGTGGAACAGGCCACATCAAAGCACGGCACAACTACCGGGGCTAGAATATTTGTTTCTGCAATCCTTTGGAGTTAGCCCAGTGATGAGCAACTCCAAATGGTACATGCACCACTTTCAAGAATTTTATCACTTTCCAATTTAAACGTAATCGTGCCGTTTCTCTCTGTGGGTTACATTGAGTTACGACGCGACTACCAGGACTGTTATGGTTGTTTCTGCAAACTTTTAGAGTTTGCCCAATGATGAGCAACTCCGTTTGATACATGCACCACTTTCGAGAAGATTTTTTGTCTTTTTTCATTCCAAGTGTAGTTGTGCTGTGTTTATCTGTGGAGTTCGTAATCGGTTGGTGGGTATAGGTAGAGTGGGTGATTAGCCCGATCTCCACCACCCGGGTTACCGCTCACGTTGGTTCATGAGACATTCGTCCCACTATCCAGGAGGCACGACGCGGACGTGTGAGTCGGATTTTGCCTCCCATCCCTGTGGTGCCCCTTCCAGCCAAACTTTTTGGTGAAGCCTGTTGGCCCTTCTGGAGAGGCTACAATGAAGCAAGGCACAACTACCGGGGCTCAATAGCTGTTTTAGCTGTCTGTTTTTTCTTTGGCTTTACTTCTGTTCCGGTGATTGCTGACCATCTGTGTACGACATAGCAGTGATTAATGATGCCTTTTGCCGTTGGTAGAATTTTGTTGCATCCTGGGTATGGGCATTGTTGTGTGTTATTAGTTTCACATGTGTGTGTTTTTGTTTTGGTTTGTGTATTGTTGTTATTTTTTGTTTCATGTTGAGAGTATTGGGGATGACATGATATGATGTGTCTATTTAGCCATCCGATTGTTTTGTATGTTTTGTTGCAGTCTGTTATTGGGCAGTGTAGTTTTGTTGTTGTAATGAGATTTGGATTAACAGTATTGTGATCATTTCTAAAGTGTCGATTCATTTCCTTCTTTGTGGCGAACATTCGGTAGCAGTTTATGTTCTTGCATGGGTGTGTTAGTTGTCTTTGACCGATTACTTTGGGTTGATGTGTGTTTGTGGGTGCAATTTTTACTTTTGTTGGATGCTTCTTCCAGTTTGTGGGAAGATTGTCTTTCATTTCATTAATGTCTTGGGTTAACTGTCTAATCCAGTTTTTTGTATGTGCATTGCGGTGTTTGGAAGGGTTTTCTATGTGACTTGTTAGTGTTTTGATCATTATGTTATCTGACCTTTTCTTTGCTGTATACCATAGGTTGAGTCGGTTCTGCATTATTTTTGTCGCAATGTTAGGAAGATGTATTTTTTCATGTAGTTGTTCGATGTTGAGTTCCTTTCTGTCTTTAATGTTTAGGATTATGCGTCGTGTCGTATTGAGGACGGCTTCTAGTCTGGACCAGTCTTTTTTCCTTAAGACTATGGATTCTAGGCTGTATGTGAGATGAGGAATTATTAGTGTGTTGATTAGTTTTGTTTTTGTTGATAGGTTGAGCTTTTTGCTTTTTAAGATGGGTGATATTTTGATTAGAGCATTCTTTGATTTGGCTATGTTGTGTGTGATTGTATCATCTGCTGATCCTTTGTGATTTAGTATTGAGCCGAGATAGAGAAAGTTAGTGACTTCTTCAATTTGTTTATTTTCAATGGTTATTGGAGTTGGGTTATCATGTTTGTTTATTATCATCTATTTTGTTTTTGATGTGGAGATTTCCATGTTTAGCATTCGAAGGTATTTTTGTAGGGAGTTTAATGATTTGATTGCTTCATCAGTGTCATTGGCTAGTATGCATAGATCATCGGCATATTCTAGGTGTTTGATTGTCCAGGGTTCATTGTTCTCATTAAGCAGTTCAACCCCTTTTAAAGTGTGGTCGATTGTTTGTTCCAGAATTTGTTTGAAGACGAGATTAAATAGGGTTGGGCCCTCTTTGCTTCCTTGCTTTACTCCTCTGTACATGGTGAAGTTTAGTTTTGTCTTTGCTAGGAAGCCTTTTGGATTATCCAATAGTTTATTGATGCATAAGTTTATGTTTCGAGAATGGCATGTTTTTGCAAGTGCGTTCTGAATTAGTGATTTTGGTATGGTGTCGAAGGCTTTCGTGAGGTCTACGAAGATGATGATTAGCGTTTTCTTTGAATCAAGAGCGCATTGGATTATATGTCTGATTGTAGTTATTGCATGACTGGTAGTTAAGTGTTTTCTGAAGCCAAATTGCGTTGGTGGAATTCGATTATCTGTTTGTTGCACCAGTCTGTTACAAATCATTCCAGAGAATATTTTGCTTAGTGTGTCTAGTAGAAAGATGCTTCTGTAGTTGTTTGGACCAGATTTCAATCCTTTGTTTTTGTATATGCCTATGGCATTAGCATTCAACCAGTGGTTTGGGATTTCGTTTGGGTTTGTCCAAAATTTGTTCATGATGTTTAGTAGGATGTATTGTAGTTTCTCTCCGCCCTGTTTGATCATCTCGTTGGTTATGCCGTTGTTGCCGGGAGTTTTGTTGTTTTTGAGATTTTTGATAACTATGTCTAGTTCAGGTTTTGTTAAGAGAGGTTCATTGAATTGATTCACATTCAAGGATTCTAGGTTTGCTGTGGTTGTTGATTGGAATAGGCTTTGGTAGTGTTGTTGAAGTGTTTTGTTGTTTATTTGGTTTCTGCGCTGTTTGTATGTTTGGTTTCTTATTGTAGCTAATATATCGTCAAGCATTTTATATGCGGAGTGAAGATCATTTTGTTCAAAGAAGGTATTCAGTTCCTCGGTTTTCTTTTGAATTTATTCTTCTTTGGTTGTTTTTATTTTATGTTTTACTTGTTTGTTTGCTTGGTTATATTTGTCTCTGTTTTCGGTGGTTGGATTGTTTAGCCATTGGAGTCTTAGCTGTTTTCTGTGTTTGAGCTCCTCTTTTAGGTCCTCGCTGATTTGTGTTTGCCATCTTTTTATTGTTGACTTTCGAGGGTTTGCAGCTAATGTTGCAGCACATATGATGGATTTTTCTATTTGTGTCAGGTCATTTGTCTCATTTATTAGATTTGTTAGTATTGTTGGGTATTCCGAGGACAAGGAGTGAATGGCATTTCGTGAGTTATTTTGTGTGCATGTTTTGTGCGTGTGTTTGTGTTTCTTTTTTGATTTTTTAAGTTGGAGTTTGATTATTGTGGTGAGCATGAAATGATCTGAGTTGGCTTCCATTGAACGTGAGTTGTGTACGTCGCATATTGTGATGTTTGAATTAGGTTTATTATCTGAGAGAATTAGGTCAATGGTGTGAGCATCATTTGTGTTAGGGTGCATCCACGTGATCGATTTGTTATGTGATTTTTGTATGAAGGTGTTCATGATTTTTAGTTTCGTTGACTGGCAGAGGTTGATTAATCTGATGCCATTTGGTGAAGTATCTTTTTCTAATTTTATTGCTTTGCCAATTATGTGAGGGTACATCGTGTGTAGTTCTTGGCTCAGTCTGCAGTTGAAATCTCCCATTAATATTATCGGTAGCTTGTTTTGCTTGATGTTCATGATTGTTTGTTTTAATGAGAGGTAGAAGTTGTCTTTTTGGTTGTCATCATCTGAGGCTTCTGTAGGAGAATAGCATCCAATAACATTGAAGGATTGGTTCATTGACTTGGAGTGGACGATTATCGTTGCAATTCTGCTGTTTATTTCATTGAAGTGCGATGTTGTAATGTTTGTGTGATTGTTGACGATGAAGGCAACACCAGTGTTTTTGTAGTCGCTTGTATCTGGATTGCAGTTGAGTAGGGTTGTGTGTTCATCCATTTCTAATATCTTGCTGGGCATTCTGGTCTCGGTAATCACTGCTAGGTGGTACTGTCGTTCAGTTATTTGACTCGCAATCTGATGTAATTTGCTTTCTTGTGAGCAACCTCGGACGTTCCATAAGCCAAATTTTAGTTTTTGAGAGTTTTTGAGATTTTTTTGGTCTTTTTTTGAACCATGGGTAGAGATGCATTTTTTCATTGTAGGATTCGTAATCAGTGGGTGGGTATAGGTAGAGTGGGTGATTAGCCCGATCTCCACCACCCGGTACCGCTCACGTTGGTTCATGGGACATACGTCTCATCAACCGGGAGGCACGATGTGGTCGTGTGAGTCGGGTTTTGCCTCGATAATGTAAGAGGTTTGAAATAGGAACAATAACGAGGCGGAATTGCATGCATATAGCATACAATTCTCTTTGAACCTAGCACACAAAAATAGGATCATGCACTGTCCCGTCGCCCTTGGCAGATCAGGCAACCCGAAAGTTACGAGAACACCATCAAGGCATACGACAGGCTAGGTACCCCGGTCAAGGAAAATATTAACCACTGGAGCTTAGTGTAATAACCACCAAGCCAGGGTACATGCAGTCCAGCACAAGGCCAGGTGCATGCCATACTGAGAGCAGGCCTAAAGGCGTTCAGCCAGCTCTCAGGGGTAACATTTAGCCGTAGCAGAAATACCGCCACGTTACTAGCGGGAACCACGAAGAGGTAGTTACCCTGCAACCATGACTTCCATAGGTACCGTAAAAGATAGGGACGTATAGTTGCTCTCGCCAACTAGATGAAGGGGTATTTGGTTGCTTTAAGGGAGTCATAGTATTTCCCACTCCGATGACGGACCTTGAAAGGTGAGGTCATTAATTAGTTAGTTGAGAGGGCACTAGGGCACCTTAAGAGAGTCTGTATTCGTACTGAAAATCAAAATCAAGTAAGCTTTTGCCCTTTTACTCTACGCCATGTTTCTGTCCTGACTGAGTTCACCATAGGACACGCGCGTTACCATTTGACGGATGTACCGCCCCAGTCAAACTCCTCGCTTGACATGGTCTTCAAAACGGGTCGCACATCACATCAGGACTCAAACACCGCAATTTGCACCACGACTCATCTGACATGACCAAGATACCGAAGCACGCAGCGATAGACCACGCACCCCGGAATGTGCTTTGAACCAAAATACAATTTCGTTCCCGTTTCACTGAATAAGTAAAGAAACAATGATAGCAGTGGTATTTCATTAGCGCTGGACACCGAAGCACCCAGCTCCCACCTATGCTACATCCATCATGTTTCCTCACAAAGTCGGACTAGAGTCAAGCTCAACAGGGTCTTCTTTCCCCGCTAATTCTGCCAAGCCCGTTCCCTTGGCTGTGGTTTCGCTAGATAGTAGATAGGGACAGTGGGAATCTCGTTAATCCATTCATGCGCGTCACTAATTAGATGACGAGGCATTTGGCTATTTGAGTGTTAACCAGCTACTCAAGCTGCTCTCGCATGTGTACTACTTACGCAGCACTTAGAGGTTGCACAGGGGCCACCTGCACTTCCACTACCCCTTTCGGGACACACAAGTTGACTTGATTGTTCTGCCTGATCGCCGGACATCCAATCAGTGATCACATGTCGAGGCACCCTCAGATAGGCACCTTATGAATCAACTCAATCCCATCCATCCAAACCACAACCCACTAACCCCCTCGTCCAAGGCAGCAAGGCGGACATTGACCGGCAAGTCCCGGGTGTCCCATCTGAGTTACCGAGCTACCGAGACCATGCACTAACCAGCAGCAGTCGCCGCCAGCTTTCACTAGTCCTTGCAGTCTTTACCGGATGACCGGGCCTCTCTACAGCCCACATGAAGCCAAAGGATCAGTTCCGGATACGGTAGGTTCCGCTAGAGCGCACATGTTCCCAGCAGGAAGACTCCACGAACCCAGGTCAACGAGACACATCAACCGAGGCGGGGCTCCACCACCACATTAGCCCTCGCGAACCAATGCAAGATGGGTAGAAGTCATGTGTGGCCGCGCGCACCCGCTACATATTGCTATGCCAGGTACCTTCTTCGGCGCACAACTGCCCCACTAGAGACCCGAAGGCCTCGACGACTTTTCAGCTATCACACCGCTGTACTTAGAGTAATAACTACAAGACAGGGCGCATACAGCCCAGCACGGAGCCAGGTGCATGCCAACTTCGAACCAGTGAGGCGGATACAGTCCTGCCTCTGGTTAGAGTTTATGCGGTTTCCGGGCTTTTTCACTGCAGCTAACACGTTCCAGAAGACCGAACACCACTTTCTCCAGAGTATCTAATAAGTGCGCCCGTTCCCTTGCGGTTCCGGTACTCAAGGCATGTATTAGCTCTAGAATCGACATGCAGTGCTCCTCGAAGCATTGTTTGTTACATCCGTCAAATCCTTTAAGTTTCAGAGACCCAGCTGTCTACCCATATAGGAATAGAACACTACAAGTATGGTCCATAAGCATACATCTGTTACCAGGTGCACACAAACGGGCATAGATGCAGTTCCATGGTTCCGTTTGATATCCGGAGTACCACGATTGCCAGATCTTGAACCAGTGGGGCGGATACAGTCCTGCCTCTGGTTAGGTATTTGCTACTACATTATCGCCTGACTGTTCGGGCTAACGAGTCACTCATATAGGCATCATAGCTTATCAATGATCCTATGATTGCCTGTTCGCACAGCCACGATATTGCCTTCTTGGTCAATCCCATTTCACTCAGGCCTTTTTCCGACCGCCCTTCCATTATTCCACGCATAGTAATAGCTATCGGTAGATGCTGGACCGATGCTTTCTGAAGGTTACACACCTGTCTGAAATTTTCATTTAACTCGTCAGTATTATACTTACGTATCTTCGAGTTCCACGATTCTGACAATCTGTTATCGTTGCATATTATCACATCTAAAACATAAATCTTACCTTTTCCACTTACCAACAGGTCCGGTTTCACGTAACCCTTACCTTTACAGATGTACGGCTCCCGTATAACTGAGAGGCCCGCCCGCCTCAGGGAATCCACCAGCTTCAGCATCACTCGATTGTGCCGAGCAATACGCAGTTTTTGGGTGAGTTTGCATTCCTGGAGGATATGCATCA